TATCACGAAGAAATCGGTAAACATTAAACCGAAAATAAATTTAATATTATTATTTTACGTGCTGCTAATCTTTATTAAATCTATTAATTTTATATTGGATTATTATATGGATATATTAAATTAGGAAAAAAGTCTCTTAATAAGTTGATAAAAAGGATTTTTTTTCATCAATATCTTCGTTAAAGTGATCAAAATTTAAATTAAGAAAAAAAAGGTTTTAAAGCTTGAAATCTTTCTCTACTTTCAAATGATTATTATATTTTTTGTGATGTTATGATTATTATATTTTTTATTATATTTTTTGAATTTATGTGAATTTTTTAATTTTTACATATAGAAAATTACAAGCTGAAAAAAATAAAAAATTTTCTTTTTATTTTATTAGGTCTGTAGTGTTAAAAAATTTGAACAAACATTTTCGAATATCTATCATGAAAGCTTTCCCTATAAAATCGTTTTTTAAAAATATTTTTATGATTTTTTTATTCCTACGAGTTACTCGTAAATTAAGTAAAAAGGAACATTCTGACTGTATTGCTCGTAACTTCATTAAAAATCATTGTATCGCAATTAAAATACAGATTTTTAAAGCTGAACTATTATTTTATCAAGTGATGTAATTGCCAATTTTTTAAAAATAAAATATGAGTTGCTAAAAAATCTTTTTACCAACTTGTAAAGGGACTTTTTCCCTAACCCAATATATTAAATATTATTAAAACATTATTTTAATTGTCTATTTGCATTATATTACTTTACAACAATTTCTCATTTTTATTGAAATGTTAATTTACTTTTCACAATTATCATAAATTTATTTAATTAACAAAGAGTAAGAGGTGTGAAGAGATCCTCAATTCAAATCCTTGCATTCGAATGTAAAAATATCTTGATCTCCACAGACTTATAAAAAACCTAGCTACATATGTATATGCCATATCATATATCGCACTATAACGTGAAGTAAATGTGATCCGAGAAACTTCTCCTTCCTTTTCGACTTATCTCCGCGAAGAGGATTTTCCAATGCCTGCTTGGTATGATATCTGGTACGTCCATAGGACACTGATAAGAGATCAGAGACTGCTCTTTGAAGATTCGATATCTCGATGAAAAAGATATCAACGGGACCTTCATTAAACCGAAGAGTGAAATGATGTAATCGAAAGATGAAATTCTCGTTATAGAATGAAAGATTTATACGATGCGTTGTACATCCTAAAAAAGGAACAGCATGCAAGAGCCGCGACCGAGCCTAGAGATCGTTGCTATCAGAGAATTTCGCAATTTCCGGCCGAATCCGATAATTTCCTCTCGGCGATGCGTTTGTCGCGCGATAGACCGACCAGTTGGTCTAATTTACGTTATGGTCGCGAGTTAAAATTGAAGAGAAAAATTCAGGAAGTGGAACAATCGAGGAGCAAACACTGGAAAATCGAAGAAATGTAACATTCATAGTACTTTGACATTATTGACTGTAAGATTAATGTATGTTGTGACTGTAAGTTTATATCTAGTGAATAATCTAAGTATTTACAAAATTTGATTATTTCTCTTTTTCTGAAGTGTTCCTCCTTTGGAAAAGAATATGTATGAATTAAAATACATATAATTATAAAATACAATGTGCATTCTTTAATATAAATTTATTCCTCAAATTGTATATACTGTGATTGTTGCAAAAGAGATGATTATTATTGATAGAAAGGGATTAATACTGCTCTCATCAAATGAAAGACAGATGCCAATATTTTATCATTGGAAAATTAATTGAATTTTCTTAAATTACTTTCATAGGAATATTAAGAAATTTGAATATTTTGCATATTCATATGAAAAGAACGTTTTGTTTAAAAGTATTAAAAAATTTAGTTAAATACAGATGAAATTGTGTTGATTATCAAAATAATGATGTAGGTCACTCAAATTTGATTATTAGAATGCCAAAATTTTTTGCAGCATTGCTCGTTATGCTTGAAAGTCTTATATAATTATTTTGATGCTCAAACAAAAAAATTATTTTTAGGTTGTGAAATGTTCAGTATTTCAGCAAAATCATTTTCTTCATGTAGAATAACTAATCCATCTAACAAAACTTAATGTCCAATAAATCAGATCAAATAAAACCCTGAGTGTGTCGTTAAATCGAATTTGATAATCCTGGCTATCTTGAGAAAAACCAATAAATCGTGAAATTTATGTTGATCCCCTTCAACTCTTTCCTTTCCTTGGCATTGTGCATTAGTGAGAAAATCCTCGATGTATTTATAAATTCATGGACAACTTGAGTTAGGAATTATAAATAAAATTCGCGAGAATACTATAATACCATTTGGGTGATACACGGATCCTCTGTGATATTTGCTGTTCTTATATAAAATATCACTGTACTATGCGATGTATATTGTATGTGTATGTGTACATACATATATATATATATATATATGAGATATATATATATAAGAATATGATATAT